GGAGCATTCCCTCAAAGGGTCAGAAAGCAGGACCCTCAGGGCAAATTTCCTCTCCAATAAAATGGCTGTCTGAAAAATATTTGGAGGAAAAAGAAAATACAACTTGACTATCATGCAAACAGGAGATGCTGCAGAAACAGAATTTAAAATACATCCCTGACCCCACTCCTAGGACCGGGGAAATCACTAAATCTGCCACCATAATTAATTACACAGCCACCTATTTATTCTGGGATTCTCTGCTCAGATGAATTCACACACATTTCCTCCCCAGTTTCCAGGCTGCTGAGCCATCCCTAATTACCATAAAAAATAAATAACTTTTGCTTCATATCACAGCAGAGAGGAATTTCTCTTTGTCTTTTGGGGCCTCCCTTGAAGACATCCTTCCCCCTGCTGCCTCATTCCCATGTAAACAAGTGCACTGAAACACACAGCCACACTGACACAGGGAAACACACAGACACCACCACCCCTGCTTACACGAATGAGCTCATTCTGCTACACAGAACTATCACACTACTGATTAACCCAGCAGAGTGAAACATGCAAACCCCAAACAGGCTCCCACCAAATCTACAATCCAGGACCAGTGGGACATGAAGCACAATTCACACACAAAAAGGAGAGATGGCACAAAAAACGTGATCCAGGAGACTGACAGAGATCGACTTTCTGCATAAACTACTTAGACTGTAAGCCCTTTAGAGCAGGGACCATCTTTTCATTGCATGCCTGTTCAGGGCCTAGCAGCACGGGGCCTTGACTAGGACCCCTTGACACTATCCCAGAGCCACTACAGAGACATCAAAGAGCCACTACACAGAGACTAAAAATAATAATTGTGTCTGAAACATAAGGGAGGAGGAATCAGAGGTTCCCTCAAACTATCAGGAAAACACAAATACTTTTTTAATCAAAAAGCAATAAGAGAAAACTGTGTCTAACCTCGAAAAGGCAAGAGAGGGAAGCAACCGGCCACCAGACCTGGAACAAAGAGGACATGGATAAAATCCCTAACATAGGCCAGACTTGTAGAGATCACCTGAACAGATTCTCAGACCCATACCGCCACTTTGCATTCGTATGTAACCCCCAATCCTCACTTAGTGAAGCACTAAGATTTTTCCTCTCCCCCGCTCCTCCCACCGTGGTAACTAACCTCTGATATAGCCTGTGGCTGGTAACAGTTGCTGGGCCCTCCTAATTCACAGAGATTGCCCTGGGTGGTAAAGGCAGCCCAGTGACTTGAAGTGGGATAGTTGACATGGCTGGGGCTCATGAGAGCTGTACTGGCCATAGGAGGTTTTCACAAGCTTCAGTGTAGATGGCAGGTCAGTCTGAGCAGGGTTAAAATGGTGTTAAAATGCTGGGCTATGCTACATCTCTCCCTGCTGGTATCCCCTGGACCTGTGCCTACAGGGAACGATGTGTCCTAACTTTGCAAGAGCAGGCAAAAGTTTTATGTCCTCCTGTGGAATCCTTACTCCAAATATTTAGCTTTCACTGAATGGGGGTGAGGGTCCTGTCCTTTCCACTAGAAGCCTGTGTGTTTGGCCACATGTCATACCTTGGTGTGCTGCCAGTGCCCCCACAGGTTGCATGTTATGCAAGTTTATTATCCCTGCTACCCGCATTTCTTACCCTGTAGGACTTGATCCAAAGCTGTCCGGCAGCCACGGGCATCGACTTCGCGGAGCTGGGGAGCAGCCCCCTAGTCACAGAATAATGGGGCTTGAAGAGATCTCAGGAGGCCATCGAGTCCCTGGATCCCTCTCCTCCTACGCGCTTGCCCCGGCTCCCCGTGGCCCAGCAGATGCCCTGGGAAGCTCGCCGGCTCTGAGGTACCCCTGGGGCTGCCACGTTCACTTACCAAGGGGCTGCTTGGACACGGC